GAGAGAGAGAGAGAGAGAGAGAGAGAGAGAGAGAGAGAACGAGACACCTGGGAGCGTGTGTTTTTTAGTGGGTTTGGAAAACACTGGTAGCTAAAACTTTGCTTGATTTCACCTGTGTGTGTGTGTAGGAAAAACTGTTTTCTTTTTTAATGGGTTTGGAAAACACTGGTAGCTAAACCTTTGCTTGATTTCACCACCACTGTTGACATTTGCCCTCTGGGATTTATACCACCTATGGCCTCAAAGATCGGTGCATATAATATACGGAAGCTCGTTGTTTCCTCTGTCCACAAAAGCATTGTTTCCTGCAATTTTATTTCAGGAATGTAGAGAAGAGGTATCAAGGAGAACAGATCTCACCAGGTGCTGTGTATTGGGAGCAGCGGGAGAATGCATCTATGCCATGAGTCACTCTGCCCTTCGGCAAACCTTGCTCCTCTATGGTTCCCTAGGCCTGACGTGAGCCTGAGACACCACAGAGCCACATAGAGAAGAGATGCGAGACCCCCAGCGTCAAGAAGACGGGCATCTGTCTGCATCTCAGGTCCCCTGTCACCTGGGGCAATACGGACTCCTTGAAATAATTGTTCAGCACAGTTTCCAGCCCTGTGACTGAGGCTTGAGATTGGTTCATTTCTCCTAGTGAGCAACTGCTTACGTCCATATTCAACCATCTCCTTTATAATGTTATACGGATAGAAATTTTCAAACATGGAGGCAGTCAAATCAGGGCAAGAATGGTGGAATCAACATGCTTGAACAGGTCAGTGTATTTCCTTGGGAGCAAAAGGTCAGAATGTAAACACTTGGTTCTTGGGGAGAAAGTGCATAATCAAATGGGCTGGTGCCATGCACCCAAGGAGTAAAACTCACTTTGCATTTCCAAGGTCTTCAAAGATCTGGCTGTATCAAACATTAAACCATTATTTTCTTTTGCTCTTTATGCATAAACTCTCTCTCTCTCTCTCTCTCTCTCTCTCTCTCTCTCTCTCGGTCTTCAGCTTGAGCAAGGCAGTGGAGTGCTTTGTATGTTGACGTGGCGCTGCCCACTTTGAGCTGCAGCATGCCTCAATACAGCTCTTGGTCTTTCACTCCTATCATGGGACTTTCCTCTTTCGTATTTCTGGCGGGAGATGTGAGATCTCGAAGGTGCAGTATCTCGCCAATCCCCAAGGCATCTGGACACATATATGGTGCCTGATAAGTCACGTTGGGCTCTCTGCCTCTGTGAAATTTCAAAAATTGTTTAAGGCAAAATATCTCTCAAATATAAATTCTGCTCACTCCTATGTGTTGTGAGCTCTTTGGGGTTCGATGTACATTTGTTTGGGTTCTTGAGAGTAGACAATTGCTTGCTATACATGTCATTATAAAGTGGGTGATGCTCTCTGATAAAGGAGAGTTGGAGCCACCTTCTGGAACTCTTACTGTGACACCAGGAAGCATGTCGGTCCTGATGCATGCTTTTGTCTGTCTGTCAAGTCTTCACTTAAGACAGTTGGACACATTAATAATCACTTTGGGTTATTTTGATCTCCCTTAACTTGTCTGTGCAGTAAGTTACAGGGCTGATGCTTCTGAATTAAACAGTCTCAGTGGGGTACTGTGATGGTTAGATTTTTGTCAATTTGATGGTACCTCTGTGGAGGTAAGAGTGGAGTCCAACCTGCCCATCAGGTGGTAGCCTGGTAAAGCCTCCACGGGGGCCTTTGTATTTGTGTTTTTGTAAGAGAGGTAGTGAGAACTTCTCTCTCTCTTGCCCTTCACCTTCCTCCTTGCATGGATTCTGTGTCTGCCTCCAGGACCGGCTCCAGGTGGGCTGTTGACCCTGGGGACTGTTGGCACTCTGGATCCATGCAGTGGCACCACTGGCCGGGATCTCCCGGCTTCTGCTTCATTAAGCAGAATAAAGATTACAATGTCAAAGTTCCGCTCCCACCCATTTGCTACCCTGCCAATTGCTACATCTTTACACCCTTCTTTGCCATCATCTACCTATGACAGCATTGTATGAGCTTGTCTTTCCCCCTAAAAATATATCAATGAAAGCTGGCTTGAAATGGCCTTTAAAACTTGCACCAGCAGTTTTATGTTGAATTTCAAAACCCCATTTAAGTCTATCAGCTTGAACCCAGGATTACCAGCCCCAAGGAAACGTAA